TATTGATCCTGAAGGGAAATTTCAGGGCCCTGAAAGCTACATTTTTACCATGGACATCTCTTTACACCATCATTCCCTATAATGACAGCCTTACAGCCCTCAAGCACACGCTGGACAAATGCACGGTGCTTGATCCACCCACACTGACTGCATTCTCATTCAATAACCTTTTTTACCAACAGGTCAGTGGAGTCGCCATGGGCACCACAATGGGACCCAGCTATGCCAATATTTTGGTCGGCTGGGTAGGAGAGCGCTTCTTCACTTCGTACACTGGCTATGTCCCTGATATCTACAAACGATACATTGTTGACTGTGTCGGTGCCATCAAATGCTGTAATGACCAGCTTGAGCACTTTCTGCATCATTTCACCAACTTCCACCCGTCCCTCAAATATACAGTTAATATATCTTCCACTACTCTTCTGTTTCTAGACATCAACTTCTCCATTAACTACCCCCGACTCTCTACTTCAGTCTATTACAAACCCACAGATTCAAACAGCTATCTCCTGCATAGCTCATTTCACCTCAAACACACTAAAAATTCTCTCCCTTTTTGACAGTTCCTTCGGCTATGACAATTATGCAGTGATGACATCAATTTCCAGAACCAAGCCCTCAAAATGTACTCCTTTTTCATCAACAGAGGATACCCCAGCAGTGTTATTGACAGGGCCCTTGCCCAAGCCAAAAACACCCCTTGGACCATCCACTCAATCAGGAACTCCCGCCGTAACAACTGTATTCCTTTGGTGCTTCCCTACCACCCAACACACTTCCTATCCCCAGGACTATTAACGACAACTTTTCCATCCTACAGGATGATCCCTCCATTGGGGCCCTCTTTTCTGACCGCCCCATCATCTTATATTGCTGACCACCTAATCTGCATAACCTTCTTGTTCACAGCTCCTTTGACTGCCCTCAGAAACCATCCACACCAGGCACTTTCCCTTGCAACTGAGCTTGCTGTATCACCTGCAAGTACATATCTAACACCACACTCATTCAAGGCCCCTCAGGACAATTCTGTATCATCCAGATGGCAACCTTATTTACTGTATCTCTTGCAGTAAATGCCCAGCCCTTTACATTGGAGAAACAGGAAGGAGCCTCAAGACCGCTTCAGAGAACATGTTAGGGCTGTGAAGATTAAAGATCTCTCCAAACCCATTGTTTCCCATTTCACCTCTGACCTCTGATGGCCATGATCACACTAATCTCTCCGTCTGTGTTCTCAAAGACGGTTTTCCAAACTCATACATCAGAAAGACTACAGAAACTTAAATTATACTGCAGCTAGGATCACACCTTCCCCTTCTCTTAATGACAGACTACTTTTCTTCTAAATTCTCTCTGTTCATTGTAGGTTTCATTTCACACCTCTCTTCACCTATCCTGACTTCATACCTCCTGATTGGCCTCTCTTTCTGTCTCCTGCTCCCGCTCCTCGCTCCTCCTCTCTCCCAGCCTTTGTTCTCCCTTTGCATCACCTTTGCTTACTGCCCTGTCTTTCTCACACCTGAAGAAGGCTCCACAGCCGAAACGTTGTGTTTTCTTTCTTCTCTTTTCAGCATGGAATAAACCTGTTACTTGTTCATTATCAATATACTGTACTTTTTATAGTATATGTTCAATGTCAAACCCTTTTCATTTATTGAACTGTCACATTTAATACACACACTGTACTGTATATATTTATGTCTGTGTAAGTTCTTGAAAGCGCTAGAAAGAATTTAGGCCATGAGCAGAAATGAAAGAAATTCATTTTAAAGCTCTTTTTTGAACTCACAGTGTGTGATCAAGTTTCTAAGCCTACTGTACATATTTAACCATATTTATCTTCAGATTGCTTTTCAGAAGGCTGAAACAGTAGTTTTAGGCTAGAACATACTGTACATTAAGCCAAGGGAATAATAACATCAATCTTTTCAGAGAAGATATCACTAGTAATACGATTTTAAATGGTTAAAAGATTCAAAACTATGAAAAGTAACATGGCACATGTTTGTATGCAGAATTCCAATGTTTATTCTGTCACATCAATACAGACCTTCAGTTCAATTTCTGGTGCTCAGCCTCACAGGATAACAACAGAAGTGTAATGTAAACCACACTGTTCTGCACCTGCTTAGACTGTATATTATCTTCATTATACATTATTTAATACCAGTCTGTTCTGGGTTTGTGGCACTATTACATGAAAAAAGTAATTAAAATCTTCAAGTAGGAATGATTCAAATGGTATTGCAAAATTTAAATATCATATTTCAGTTCCAAATGCATTTTAATGATAACATTTCTTTCTAATGTAAATAACTATCTTTTAATCCTTATCGTCACCCAGTTGCTTCTTGATTGTTGCATGTCTCTATCCCATGCTTCTTTTTTTCCCCTTTTTCTGTCTCCCTGTCTGACTTGCTTTTTACAAGCATACTAATTGCTTAATTAAAATTTGATTCAAGAGCGCCAGTGGCTTCACCAGCACATCAAGGCAGAAGCTGCATTATGCTTGAGATTTGTCTGTTTGTAAGACTGCAGATCATATATTCCAATTCTCTGAGCCACAAAAACCCACATTATGGGTTTTAAGGACTTAATTATCAGGGACTTGCAAACCCCAGCTAATACTCCAGATTCCTCACAGAGATATGCTGCAGAGGACCTAAATGATCAGGGCTCCTCTCTGGCATTCTTTTCTGTTCTTTGGATTGTTTCATAACACCATTATAACATCTTTGAGAGAGGCTTGCATTTCATCTGTATGTTGATGACTAGGTTAATGTCACCACTGGTGAAAATTGAAAATAAATGACAACGACTGATGACGATTATCTTATTTTACATTTTCTCCTCCATTCTGGTTGAAACTGGTTAAATGTCTCCCATTGATTATTGTCTTATACAAATGCATCACACTAACTCCACCCTTATTTATATTTATAAACTTATATAGTGCTTTTCTTGTCACTCCACTCAAAGCACTTTACAGGTAATGGGGACCCCCCTCCACCATCCCCACCTGGATGATACAACAGCAGCCATAGTGCACACAGTACACTTACGACACATCAGTTAATCTCACAATAACTTTAAACATATACCCCACTGGATCAGAAGACCTTAGTGATTAGCTGATTCAATAAGATTCAGATTCAAGACTGGCTAAATCTTGTTTTAGAAATGTACCTAACAGCTGCTTTGTCAGCAGCTATGTCACCCTGCAACTCACAACTAGCAACCCATTGAAGCTCAGTAGGTGTGAGCCTGGCCAGTACCTGGCAGGAGGCCTCCTGGGAAAGATAAGGTTGTTGCCGGAATAGATGCTAGTGGGACCAGTAGGGGGCACTTACCCTGCGGTCCGTGTGGCTCCTAATGCCACAGTATAGTGATGGGGACACTATACTGTAAAAAGGCAGTGTCCTTCAGATGACACATGAAACAGAGTTCCTGGCTCCTTGTGGTCATTAAAAATACCATAAAACACATTAAAACCTAACACTGTATCTGCCTTTAAACCTTTCATATTTGCATAGTAATATAGATAAATAGACACTAGGTAATCATTATAAGAAAAGATTGAATTTAAATACGAGAAAAACATTTATGAATTTCAATATATTTTAGAGATAAAATATGTCATACATCCATGTGTTTTGCATGTTAATTTGTATTAGACAGGGATTAGGAAACCCTGCAATTACAAAGCCATCAACCTGCAATTGCTATACAGTAGGTACTTTTAACATTAGCAACTTAATAAGACCTAAAAAATACCTCAAACTGACTTTCTATCCAAATGATTCCTTCAATTAGGTGAACAAGATCATAAGTAGAATTAAGATAAGAGAATCCTCAGAACATTTGAGAACTAGAGCTGCCCATCCCTAGGCAGGAGGAAACTGTTGGTCTTAGAATTGTATTTATCAACTAATGTTGTTTTATATTTAAATTTTAAAGCTTATTATTTATCTACAGGTATCTTTACCTTTGCGAGTATAATTTAATTTGATTCCCTTCCTGGAACAAAATGATTAAACATAATCCCTAGATATACAGTATAATGCAAAATTTATAAACTAATTATAAAAGATAATTTATTTTCCTTTCAAAAAGGTTCTTTTTAACACCTAGAGTAGAAGAACTTGCTATCTTTGAATTCCTTAATGACCTGGATAGATGGTACTAAGAGGCTTCAGGCACTAGCACTCTTGTATGAGCTGTTAACTATAATTACAATCCAAATAAGCACCAAACTAGTTTAGCATTTATTAAGTACCTTCTGATCTAGAGTGGCCCTAATTTACTCCAAGTTCATTACCAACAAAAATGCATCTTAAAGAACCATTCACATAAAACAAGATACATACAAATAGCCACTGTCATTAGAAAACCAAAGCCTTTAATCAGCTAGTAAATTAATGTGATTTCAGTAGCCTTTTTTCTCTTTAAAATGTTTTAAGACTCGGAAAGTTTAAGTTTTCTCACTGCAGAATTTGTCACTATTTTTACTTTATCTCAGAGGACAACACTTCCTCGAAAACAGTACTGTGTTTTTATAATCACCTCCAGTAGTATTTGCTTTTAACTGGCCCCTTTCTCCATCACAGGTTTTTTTCCTTCTGCAAGGGTTAAACGTGTTCCATTACAGGCAACACATATGAATGATGGCAGTCCTGAAACTCAGAAATTTTTACACGGTTGATACCAATTACGTATCTCATTTGACCTCCAATTACAAATCTCATTTGACCTGAAAAAAACACAATCATGCTCCAAACAAAAAAAAAACTCAAACATTTTAGCCTGTCATTAAGAACTCAACTGGAGCAAAAACCAGAAGACACAGTGTTCCTCTGTGACCACTCTGTGATTGCGAACCACTGCAATATATACTTGAAATAAAGAGATGAACATGAATACCAATAAATGTGAAAGCTTAAAGTGAGTGCCCACATCAGGTTTTAAAAACACACATACCTGTATAAGGCACATACCTCTACTGCAGCACAAGACTTGATCGGATAAAGGAAGATGTTGGTTAGAGTTCCAGAGACTTCCGCATTCCTTGAGTACACAACTCCAGATCTAGGAATGTTGCTTTCCCCACGCTGAGCAGAGATGCTCGGTGTCTTCACAGAGCCACTGCATTCAGATCCTTCCTCTTGAACTTTTAGAGGGCCATTATGATTTGGAAGTGTGGGATATGCTAAGCTTTCTGCCGGCAGAGAAGTTCTTAACCTCTTCAGTCTATCTTTATCCATTTTGACTGGCTGTTGAGCGAAAGAGTCAACAATGAACTTCAAGAAGGTCTGGCAGTCCTGGAAGGTCGACATGTAGCCAAAAGAGATCCGAACGGAGCCAGTGGGTCGCCCTCCAATCAGATCCACATTGTCTCCACAGACATGCCCAGCCTGGAAAAAATAAAATCATTGGAGATTCCAGCAGGGTGGGTGGGTTTCATAGAAGAAGAGATGACAGGGCTAACAGTCCCCATTACCTGTAAAGCGCTTTGAGTGGAGTGTCCAGAAAAGCACTATATAAGTGTAAGCAATTATTATTATTACTTCACAAGACAGGTTCTGCACTATTTTTGTATCTTTCATATTTTATCCATATGTTATTTACAGTCTTGTCATGTTCCTTGAGTGCTCCTTGTTTTTTATGTAAAAAAAAAATTAGAGCTTCCCATCAGCACACAGTTACTAGTGTCTATGAATGCTGAGAAGGAAAATGTTATTAATTTATCATGAAAGTTCATTAGCTTTTACAAGTCTTGCTTACCTTCTTGTACTTTTATTGCTGAGGTTTCCAGGGTTATCATGAAATATGCTGTTGAAAGTCAACTAGGGTATATCGAAGGTTGTTTGGAATACATTTTAAAACCATTTTAATGAGGCAATTAATTTAATGAGGGGTATATTTTGTGCATGTGAATACTGTGAAGGCATGGGTATTGTATATTGATGGACAGAACTCGAGTAGGACGGACTAAATATTTTGCTTGTTTTGGTGATAATTGATAGCCTGAGGTGTGATTGGGAAAGTTTTGTCTTCTCACTTCTATTGCTTAGAAAAGGTAACACTGAGCAGAGGTACCTAACTTCAACCACTTTATGCAATGGATTATGGGAGTATGAAACAAACTATCCAGCAAAGTTGTTCATACTGATACCCTTGTTTCTGTCAAGATCCTTAGATCAATTAGCTAGTCAAGAGGTCAAATGGGCCAAATGGCCTCCTCTTGTATATAACCTTTTCCTACATGTATGTTCTTAAATGATGAGAATGTGTTTATTTGAGAATTTTAGATTTGTTGTCCTTGTAAGTGCTTTTGCACATTTGTTCCTAGTTTTTTTTTTCATATTTGTGAAGGAACTTTTTGAACCTCTGAAGAAAATTGTGATGTATTTACCTTTTGTTTCCTGTGTATGTGAGATGTTTTTTTCCACTGCTCAAAGAGGGTGACCCTACTTAAATCTAGGTCATTGCATTACATGTACAATAAGGTTTTGGTGATGGAGAAGGAAGCATATTTTGCCATTAGAACTGGGAATGAAGAGGACATCCCAATTTTCTTTTAAAAAAGCTGCTTTTTTGTTTGTTTTCACTTAACAGCTTGAAGAGAATTGCTACCCTGAATGGATCATTTCTTTTTGCCTCATTACCCCTTTTATATTCTCACATCTGTTATAGCCATTTTAAAAATCTGACAGTGTCCTGCGGTCCTCTGCTCTCTCACCTGCAGATTGTTTTGCACTTCCTGGTCACTGATGCCCAGGTGGCGCTGGCAGGCTCCAGTGTTGCAGAAGCAGCCTGTGCGGACTTGGATGCTATGCAGACTAGCGAGTTTATCCACCTGAAAGAGAAAACACAAAGCTGCATTGTTGGTGTATGTACAGTATGTGTGAAGGGGATTGATTCAGCAATGTCTTAAGAGACATATTTTAACATATGCTGCAGACAGTCCCTGAACTGAAGTAGTTTAAGACTGCTTTTAGGAGCAGGTCATCTTGTAAGTTGTAAGTTCTCTGAAAAAAAGTCCAAAGGCACAAAAACAAAAGGAACCAAATTTCAAGCCATGTGGCATTGCAAGTTTGCTGTTGCTTCACTGTACTGCGAAAAAACCCCACAAATGACAGAGCCCAAACAATCAGATTGGTATATGCATGATGATGAAGATCAGCAAGATGTGCAGTCTAATAGCAAACTCTACTCAGATCCATTGCTTTGAATATCACCTGTACCATCTTTTAAATGTCTGTCTTTGATTTGAAAAAGACTGGGATTTCACAGCATTTTTAAGCCAGTTTAAAGCCAGTGACATCAGAGAGATGTCAATCAAACATGACACTAAAGAAGGAAAGCACAGATTTAATATCTCTTGGGGTGCAGCTTTGTATACATGCTAGAACAACAGCTTGGATCAAATCTGTTTGTACTTCAATGGTTAGTTGCAAAGCATAAATCATGGAAGAGTTTTACAGGTTGACACAGAAAAAAGTAGATGATTTTTTCATTTTTTAATAAATGAAAAGATTTTGATTCCCTAAGGATTTTCTATTCTGTTAACTTTACATTGTCTTCTATATTATCTATCCCACTCTATACACTGATTATCACTGTATAGAGTTTAACCTCTGGCATGTGGTCCGACCAACAGACACCTGGACAGTTTCTTTCCCAATGCCATATCCTTACTTAACCAGCATCCTCCCCCAACAACTCCCCGTTTCAGCTGAAAACACTTTGAACTATTATTACTGCTTAGTTCATACATCTTGAATATCTTGTGGTTAAGAACTGGTGCATCTTCCCAGCATGTTTACATAGTTGCACCTTACTCCTCCATCTTTTGTATATTGTCCAATGTAACTATGTCAGTAATGTTAATGCTTCTTTTGCACCTGTGTGGGTTTTGTGTTGAGCAGGTTCTAAATGTACAAAGGCAAATTCCTGTACCTGCACATACTGGCGAATAAAAGCAATTCTGATTCTGATTCTGTTATAAGGTAAATTTTCATGGGGTTGATGCTAATGTAAAAAAAAATGTTTTTATTGTAAAGTTCCACATGAGAAAGTCTAAAAGAAGAATATAGGAAGGGAGATGGTACAGAACATACTTTTACTCCCAGTTGCTAGCATAATGATGTCAAATCAGACAATACAACAATCATCTGCATCTTAGATGTGCATGAATCCTATTTAGCTTGAAAGATGCATCATATGACCACTGTAGCCAACAGTTGCAGTTCAATTAGAACTGGTTTTCTCAGGTCAGAGATATAGCTCATGAAAGGATTCTAGAAGCATGTCTGATTGACAGTGAAGGTCAATCAGACAGCAAGCTTGTACAATAGGTTTCAGTATGATGAAAAACTTTGGCACCTGTATTTAGAACAGTAGAAGACATAAGAAGAAGTGGTTTATAATTGCAAAACATTTACCAACACCCTAAAAAAAAAATAATTGAGTGGAGTTGTGATATTAAAGTAATCTTTCAGGATGGAGTAAAGCTTTCTTGAGAATTGTGTTGCATTAGGAGTTTGTCTCTTTATTAAAGTTTGTACAGTACCTGAATATTTTGTTAATTAAGACACTTGGTTAATTCTTAACACAATTTAGTTGGGTAGTTTATTCATTTTTACCCTTCTTACTAGCTTGTAGAAACAAAATACACTTAAGAGACAGGTTAGTTTTACCCTCAAACAGGTTAGTTTTAAGAGTTGTTGCAAATAGTAATCCTGGTCAGTATGAAAAGGAACTGCATATTTAGATATTTATCTGCTAGAACATTATAACTGAATGCTTCTTAATAGGAACCCTCCTAAAAGATTACAGAAATTAACAGCTATATTACAGAACTGTGTGGATACCTTGTATTTTTAAAATGTATTGTCCAGATTGGCTATATTATTAATTTTCAGTGTGTGGATCTTGATAAGACACACGGTGTCCTGTGAAGCAGAAGCTGCCTTAATACTATTTGCATTATAGATTGTGGTTAAGATGAGCTCATTAATTATTCGCACATCAATGTGGTGCTGCATGTTGACCAAATACAGAGACTGAAGTGACTTGCATTTTTCCCTTCATGATTTAATTTATTTCAATTTGTGTATGGTATATTTAACTGAAAGACAAAAGCTTAATTCTGAATTAAAACATTCAATTTTTTTGTCCCCAAAAACATTCTGAAAATTAAAGATTTACGTAATTCTTACCAAAATACCAAATTCTTACCAAAACAAAACATAACTAGAACATTTTCAAATAAAACAAAATCAGATACTGATTGGAAAATTGCAAACTGTATATGCAATTTGTGGCTCAAAGATCAAAGCTTCAAGAAACTAATATTTAATCTGAGTTTAAATTTAAAATCAAAGACTCTTCTAGGTGTGATAATTTAGCCCCTTTTCTAAAACATACTCATTTGTTAATTTAAATCTTAATTAGAGTTTCCTGCAATTGTGTATTGAGCAATCTATTTTATGTACTATATACTACACTATATTGTTTACACCGTAATTTATTTTAATTAATGTACATTAATCTTAATTTAATATTTTCACAAAAATGCCAGTAGCCATGCTTGCAGACTTGTGCAAATTTAAACAGAGGTTTATGCCAGGGTTAATTATAATTTTCACAATGCAGTCATTTGCCTTTCCAAATCCCCCTTTAACAGTTTCTCAGATTTCCACTCACTGATGATAAAAGGACTGCTCACAAGCAGTGTCCAATTAGTAACTCAGACTTGGAATAACTTTAGAAGCACAAGCACAAACAGAGCACTCATTATTCATTATTCTATGAATCTATGAATTGGTTTCATTACTCTGCTTTCCTGATGTGTGGTGAGCATTCTGGCGCACTATGGCTGCCGTTGCATCATCCAGGTGGATGCTGCACATTGGTGGTGGTGGAGGGGAGTCCCATTACCTGTAAAGTGCTTTGAGTGTCCAGAAAAGCACTATATAAGTGTAAGCAATTATTATTATTATTATTAT